TACAAGCATAGAGTTATAACAATATCAAATAAATATGCACATTCAGAGATTTCCCCTCATCCCCTCCATGGGTCTTATTGTCAACATTTTCAACTGCTTGGCAGGGGGTTGAACTCGATGGCCCAACTCTATGATTCTATGAACTGCATATTACCGTATTTTTCACTCTATAATACACACTTTTCACCTCCTAAAAAGTAAGGGGAAATGTGTGTGTGTCTTATGGAGCGAATGCAGGCTGCGCAGCTATCACTGAAGCCAGGAGAGCAAGAAGAATCAGTGCGCACCGATCCCTCTTGCTCTCCTGGCTTCAGGGATAGCCCCTGAGGAGGCTTTGCGTTGATTTCTTTTTCCTCCCCTAAAAACTAGGTGTGTCTTATGGTCGGGTGCATCTTACAGAGCAGAAATACGGCCACGTTTTGTATCTGGCCATATTGTCCATAGTGATTGTTACATTACAAGTGTTATTAAAAGCCTGCTAACGTTTTCATCTGCTTACAGTGGTCTCCTTAAAAAAATTATATTTTTTCCCATTCTTTATTAAAGTTTTGGTCTTCTTGGTTCTTGAGCTTTCCGGTCAGTTTTGCCATTTTGGCATAATTCTGTTGGAAAACTTGCCCCCTCGGGAGAGGCTGGCAACTCTCCCAGGCTCCCGGGCTTGTTTACCAGTGATCTGCCCTGGCTGCAATCCCCGCAGTCCAGGAGATCTAGATAGGCGACATTTCCCAGCGTGGAAAATGCACACCCCTTCCATCCTTGCTTCCCAGCAAGGGAAAGAAGATAGTCAGAAAGTCTTTTTACATCTTGTTTATTTCTGACATTACAGCTCTACAAGAAACACATCCATTCAGTTCAGTCTCCTTCAAACAAGTGGCAAAGACTTCCTTTACATATGCAACAGGAAGGTCTCATATTACACACAAAACTAAGACTTCTTAAGCCTGTGAACTTCCGGGAAGATTCTTTTCCACAGCTAGCCACATCATGTGATGTAAACATCGAGCTGGTTTGCAGCTGTGTTGCTCTCATATCGTAACAAATTCAACAGCTTAGTTTGCCATTCTTCTCTGGTAGCGACTTTGTCTTCTTTCCATCTCTGGATTAGAAGCATCCTTGCTGCTGCTGTCGCATACATAAAAAGTCTTTTCTGTTCCTTTGGGATATCGGTCCCTACAATTTCTAATAAGGAAGCTTATAGTTTTTTTTATTAAAAGTTATTTTAAACATTTTTTCATTTCATTATATATCATTTCCCATGTATAGGGAAGTTTTTAAAATGTTTATTATGTGTTTATATATGTTGGGAGCTGCCCAGAGTGGCTGGGGCATTTCAGTCCAATGTGTGGATGATGATGATGATTAAATAGGACACCCCTATTTTCATTTCTGTGTTAGAGAGTATGTCTCTCTCTCCATATATGGATATATACACACACACATTAACCAAGGAATTTGTTAAAACTGAGGGCCACATTCCTTACTGGAAAACATTCCAAGGGCCACAAACCAAAGGAAATACAGTGGTACCTCAGGTTACATACGCTTCAGGTTACATATGCTTCAGGTTACAGACGCCGCTAACCCAGAAATAGTGCTTCAGGTTAAGAACTGCTCCAGCGGCGCGGCAGCAGCAGGAGGCCCCATTAGCTAAAGTGGTGCTTCAGGTTAAGAACAGTTTCAGGTTAAGTACAGACCTCCAGAACGAATTAAGTACTTAACCTGAGGTATCACTGTAGTTTGTAGGGTAACAGATATAAATGTTACCTTTGTGCAGCAGACTAATTTTGACCCACATTCCCACACTCCTCTGTATCCCCCATCCAGGGAAAAAAGAGGCATTATCAGAATTCAACGACACACACCAGTGGAAGGGGGGGTGCAAGGCAGAGTCAGTGAGGGGTGCTGCATGAGCTGAAATTTGCAGACCCTAACACTTGTAATTCAATGGTGACCTTGGGATATAATGGAGATATAAAAGATTTGGATCATTATAAAAGATGCAGGAGGAAATGACTAACAATAGGACCCACAAAGGGGAGGAAAGAAGTCCAGGAGATTCTGTGGAATCTTGTTTCTATATTGTATGTTGGATATGTGAGTGTAAAACGTTGATTTGAAAAACCAAATAAATTTAAAAAGAGAGAGAGATTTGCAGGCCAGATGCAGTGGCCTTGCGCTCCTGACCATAAACCATCCAAATGGCCTCGGCCCAGTATACCTGAAGGAACATCTCCACCCCCATCGTTCTGCCCGGACACTGAGGTCCAGCTCCAAGGGCCTTCTGGGGGTTCCCTCACTGCGAGAAGCCAAGTTACAGGGAACCAGGCAGAGGGCCTTCTCGGTAGTGGCACCCGCCCTGTGGAACACCCTCCCACCAGATGTCAAAGGAAAAAACAACTACCAGACTTTTAGGAGACATCTGAAGGCAGCCCTGTTTAGGGAAGCTTTTAATATCTGAAGGACTATTGTATTTTAATATTGTGTTGGAAGGCGCCCAGAGTCGCTGGGGAAACCCAGCCAGTTGGGCGGTGTATAAATAAATGAATTATTGTGCAGACAGGCGGAGTCCCCAGGTCCCGAGCACCTCCCCCGTCATGTGGAATAACGACTCAAGACAACGTGCTATGGGATTAAATTGGCCACAACTTTATTAAATTTCAAATGTGGGTAGACCTTGGCTCAGGCATTGGGCGTTCTCCCTCCCCAGTCCCCAGCCGGGGACCTAGGGAGCATCAGGGTTATCCAGTGTTTGTGTGGGCGATGGGCCGGCTCTGGAGAACATATGTTCAAGCAGAGATAGACGCCCCCGTTACGCTGCCACCGCAGGGGAAGGCAATGAGGACCTTTCGGCGTACGGTCAAAGCCTCCCTTCAGAAACCCCTTTAACGGGGAATCCTGGTATCGCCACTGCAAAGAGGAAGATGGACAAAAGGATTCCGCCCAAGGCCTGATACCGCCAAAGTTGTGACGTTTTGCTACGGGTAAGGCAAAACCTGCCAATGCAGGGAAATTCCTTTCCGGCCCTTTGACAGCAACCTTAACGTAGCAGCGCCTGCATACCTGTGAAGAAAAGTTAACCTGTAAAACCTGTGAAGAAAAGTTAACCTGCAAAATAAGGTATTAACTGAGGGTGGGTAGGGTGGGAGAAGCTCTGGAGCCAAGTGAGGATTCCCAGGTAAGATCCTCCCTCTATTGTGTGGGCAGGTAATCCCTCCCCTACCTGGCCTGGTCTCCTTGGCAACGCTTCCCCCAGGTGGGATTGGACAACTGACTGGGGTAGGCGGAGACCTCCAGGTATCCCACCTGAGGGAAGGCGAAGCCAAGCCTATGCTGAGGGAGCCGCTCCAGATCCAGGGGCTGCGCGCGTCCACGCAAAGGGCGCCCCCCGTTTTATGTGTTGAGCGGTCATTCCCAGACATTTTCATGAATACCGGAAATTTCCACTGGATGAAATTTCCTGAGGCAAAATCCTGGACATATGGCAGCCCTATTCTTGTTTTTGTATTCAGAAAATTCACTACATATTTCAATGCTTCTTCTTTAAAAAATGTGTTTGGCAATAATGTCAAATAATGTCAAATTTTCCCCATCAAATGTTTCCTCCTTGAGTCAGGCTACCTCTCCTACACAGGGCTGCAGTTAGGCTGCAGGTGTCAAGCTTCAGATCTCTGGTCCTTTTTTAAAAATATTTTTTAAATTAAATTTTTCAATAAAATAACAAAAACAAACACAAAAAAGCACAATGTCAAATACAATAACCACCACAAACAAAGAAAAATATACACAAAAACAATATCAAATCCAAAAAAATGGGATTCTCTGAACCCCTTGACTTCCCTCAGCTGCATATCATATCTACTCCGAATTATTACTTTTTTTACCTCAGATTTCTTGTACTATTTCTAAAATGACAAGGGTTTTGAACATCCTGCCAATGTATTAACCTGTTTCCAATACTTTTGCAAATACATAATAAACATTTCCCATTCATTTTTGAATCTCTTATCGTCTTGATTTCTGAGCTTTCCAGTTAATTTCGCCATTTCAGCATAGTCCATTAACTTGGTTTGCCAGTCTTCTTTGGTCGGGACTGCTTCCTCCTTCCATCTTTGGGCTAATAGTATCCGGGCCGCCATCATAGCATATATAAACTCCCCCCACCGATCTTTTGGAATCCTACAATGTTGGGTTCTACAATACCTAGTAAAAAGGCTTCTGGTTTTTTTAAACAAAGGTTACTCTAAACGTTTTTTTTTCATTTCATTATAAATCACTTCCCTGAATTTTTTAACCTTCCTACATTCCCACCACATATGATAGAATGTACCCTCTGCTTCTTTACATTTCCAACACTTATTAGGAGATCTGGGGTCCTAAACTCAGCCCCCCCCTTATCTCTGTAGCGGATGTTTCACACTCTCCCCAGTTCATTCCCTCACTCCACTGCTTTGCAGTCTCCTGGAGTGTTTTTGGTCTACTATAAACTGTCCTTGAACCCTGATAACACCTCTTGATGACCTGAATCGAGGAAAGTGAAAAGTGTGAGAGTGTAGAATCTTGCCTGTGATACAAAGGTAAAATTTACTTGTGTTACTCTGCCCACTTTTTCCTTGCCTGGATAGGAACGCAGCCACCAGTCTGAACAAGCTTCCCCATCCCTAATTATGGGCATTTTTGGCTGTGGACTTAATGCCCTAGCTTGAGAAGGAGGCTCTCTATATGGAAATACGTGTTGCTTCAATTCAAAATGTGTTGAGCCAGTACTGCTACATTTTAGAGACCCTCGTTTTGTGGAGTTGGTCCACGACATCTGCTTGCCTCCCCAAGTCCTGCCCTGATTGCACCATTGCCACTTCCCTTTCATCCTGGCCAAAGTGAGGACCACCTACAAGAGTTTTATGCAAATTTATCTAATTAGCATTGGCTGTGCACTCCCCCAAGCAAGCCAATAAAGACATTCTTGCGGATCCAAGGACCAGAGAATAAATTTTCATGAAGGACCTGCTTGGCATTTCTCAGGGAATTTGGAGAAGAGGAAGAAGAGCCCAACTAGGTCTCCTTCTGTAGTGAAGTTACACTCCTTTAGAGAGCTCACCATGGCCTGGCCTCTGGTTTTCCTAGCCCTTCTCAGCTACTGTGCAGGTAAGACTATGAAGGACTCGCTCCACACAGGAGAACATCTCACCTACTAACATTATGTATTTAGCAAAGGAACATCATGCTTCTTTGAGATTTGAAACATGGAAACTGAACCAACGTCCTTTTTCTCTTTCCCCCCTTTTCGTAAAGGTGTGACTTCACAACCAAGTTTGACTCAGCCTGCTTCTGAGTCTGTGTCTCCAGGTGAAACTGCGAAACTCTCCTGCACCAGAAATGGTGGTAGTAGCTGGGATGCATTTCATTGGTATCAACAGAAACCTGGGCAGGCTCCTCGCTTTCTGCTCTATGGCTCCAGCACCAGGGGAGACGGAATTCCAGATCGGTTCACTCCTTCTTCCTCTGGGAACACCGGCTATTTAAGTATCACTAACATCCAGACTGAAGATGAGGCCGTTTATTACTGTTCTGACTGGGAGTACAATATCTTGAAGGGGTATCACAGTGGTACAATCTAATGGGGAACTGAGACAAAAACCTTCTCTCTTCTTCTTAGAGAAGGGAAAACTGATTCACTCATGGGCATAACTCTGTGTGATTGAGGTTTGCCTGCTCTAAACCTAGAAATTAGGGCACCTTTTCCCCAATGCCTTCTCTCTCTCTCTCTCTCTCTCTCTCTCTCATTTTTGACTTTTTCATTTGTACAAACATCAAATAGAAACACAATACAGTGGTACCTCGGGTTTCATATGCTTCAGGTTACAGAATCAGCTAACCCAGAAATATTATCTCGGGTTAAGAACTTTGCTTCAGGATGAGAACAGAAATTGTGCAACGGTGGTGCAGCGGCAGCAGCAGGAGGCCCTATTAGCTAAAGTGGTGCTTCAGGTTAAGAACAGTTTCAGGTTAAGAACAGACTTCCAGAACGAATTAAGTACTTAACCCAAGGTACCACTGTATGCTACAAATATCCTCTTTGACTTCCCTCCCCCTCTTTTGTGGTTTCATAGTGCATCGCCTTTCTAATTCCAATTATTTATAAACCCCTTAATGCAAATTTTAACTACAAGTTTTAAGTTAATCCTGCTAGTGAATTTAATGGTTTACAATGATTTTTCAAATGCATTATTTACTTTCTCCATTTTTTTAATTAAAAGTTGGTTTCTGATTTTTCTAGCAAGTTTTGCCATTTCCACTTAGGCCATTAGTTTTATCTGCCATTCTTCCTTGGTTGGAATTGCATCTTCCTTCTGGGAATTCTGGGCATTCCCTCTTTCTTTTTGACCCCTGCAGTAGAAGGAGCCACCCTTTCTGCTTGCCTGATCTGACTTGTTCCCTCCGTAACTGGGACAAGCAGCCTTCCAAAGTTTCCTCCTTCTTCCCACATTCCTCCGAATGCCTCATTGCCAGGTCTGCACCTCCCTCGCACTGTGTCCCTTTTGCCAGGCGGGAAAGATTGTGCTCTCCATGCAGGGCGGGATTTAGGTTAGACGAGGCCCTAAGCTACTGAAGGTAATGGGGCGCTTGATATGTCCAGCTGTCCTTTGTCATCAACAATTGGTTGCTGTTTTTTGTGTTGAATATATGCTATATGGTAATTTATGGACCTAATCGGTATCTAAAGCCATTTGCACATGCAGAATGTAGGCACCCTATATATAGAAATGAGCAAACCAGTGATATTTTAGGGAGCAGGCTAGCAGGTGGGGCCCATTACTTACATCATAGGAGCCTACAGAACACAAAACACTGTTGCTGTTTGTAGGTTTTATTTAATTTGTTTTTATCTTATATTTTGGAAATAGACATCCAGTTTTATTCCTTTAAATTTTTTTTGGGGGGTGGCCCCAAGCGATTGGGGCCCTAAGCTATAGATGGTTTAGCTTATACATAAATCCGGCAGTGTCTCTATGTCTTCACTGTGCTTCCTTCTGATCCAGCCCCCAACAGAGATGTGACCACTGCTGCCTCCTCCCAGTCTACCTTATGAAAATCAATTCTGTTGCCTTTCTTTTTGTTATGGATTTATGTATTCACAGTGCAGACTGAAGTCAGTGGTGGTTTTCTCTTCCCCCCCCCGGTAAAAACTATTACACCCCACCTACCAGCAGGTGGTACTGTGGTCTAAACCACTGAGCCTCTTGGGCTTGCCATTCAGAAGGTCGGCAGTTCGAATCCCTGCAACAGAATGAACTCCCATTGCTCTGTCCCAGCTCCTGCCAACCTAGCAGTTCAAAAGCATGCCAGTGCAAGTAGATAAATAGGTACCACTGTGGCGGGAAGGTAAATGGTGTTTCCATGCGCTCTGGTTTCTGTCACAGTGTTCGGTTGCGCTGAAGCGGTTTGGTTCTGCTGGCCACATGACCTGAAAAGATGTCTGTGGACAAATGCCGGCTCTCTCGGCCTGAAAGCGAGATGAGCGCTGCACCCCAGAGTCTACTTTGACGGGACTTAACTGTCTTGGGGTCCTTTTCTTTACCTACCAATATCTGATGGTCTCAACAAAGGATGTTTTACACAGGTTCATAATAATGTGTAATAAAGCTATTATTATTTAAAAGCTTATGTGTATTATCTGGAAATCAGACCAGAAATGGCTAGGAATTAGCCCCTGAAAGGGATTCTTCCCCTGGGTTCAGACAATCCACTACATATAGCAACCACTTTTAAAAAAGTGTTTGGCATTAATGGTGAGTGAAACCTCAACCTCAACATACCCTCCAACATACAGACAATCCCCTGATGCCCAATTTCTCCAGCACTCACCCTTGGCCCCTACAGGATACTTGCCACCCCAAACCCCTCAAACTCCAGCCCCACACAGGCTTGCCTGCACCCCACCAGGTAAACCCTTCCCTGCCCCCACTCCAGGGTCTGCTCCTGCCTGGGGTCTCCTCCAGCCACCGCCTTCTCTTCTGGCCTGACCTAGCTCCCTTTTTCCTTCTTGTTTTTACTCAGAATAGCCGGCTGGATGGGTGGCTGGGGCCTGCCAGGCTGGAGAGACATGGCATCATCATCCCTGTTGCCTTCCTCCCTTTTTCTCCTTCTCTTATTCCCGCTACGGCTGCTGCTGTAACTGGCAGACTTGCCTGCCTGGCTCCCTCCCTTGGACCCAATGCAAGACTCCCCCCTCTTCCTCTACCTCGACTCCTCAAACTCCCAGCAGTGGTGGCAAGGAGGCGATGAGGTGGAGGAGAAGATGGCAGCCTCAGCAAGCAACTATCTCTTCCCCTAGAATGATCCCAGCCTTCTCATGTTGCCTCCCTGTGTGGCTCTGCAAGGCATGTTTCCATGGTGGGAAACATTCGCTGTGTACAACACAAGACCAATTCTCATTTTTTAAAAAAATCATTTATGCAAATCTGGTTCCATTTGCATGAAGGGGGACATTCCTCGGCCCTAGAGGACTTAAGAAAGCAAATTGTGAGGTTCCAGGCCAGTTGTTTTGTGTTTCAGAAAGCCCCTCACCATGGCCTGGACTCTGTTTTTCCTGGCCTTTCTCAATTACTGTTCAGGTAAGGATGCAAACAGGTAACCTCATGTAGACCTGAGAGATAAAACCAAATTACTTGTAGTGTTTATTTATTATGGAAACCTAAAGCTCCAGTGATATTTGAGAACACAGAGGATGGAGAGTCATGCTTTTCTTTTTCTTTTTGCAAAGGTGCCAATTCACAGCCAACAGTGACTCAGACAGGCTCCCAGTCTGTGTCCCTGGGCCAAACTGTGAAACTCTTCTGCTCTAGAAGTAGTGATGGTAACTGGGTCTACTTTCAGTGGTATCAACAGAAACCTGGACAGGCTCCTCGCTTTGTGTGGTATGGTTCCAGCAGGGGAGAAGGGATCCCAGATCGGTTCACTGGCTCTGAATCTGGGAACACTGGCTCTTTAACCATCTCCAACATCCAGGCTGAAGATGAGGCCATTTATTACTGTGGTGCCTGGGAGCGCACTGGTAGCTGGAAGTATCACAGTGATACAATCTGATGGGGAAGTGAGACAAAAACGTATTTTCTTCTGCCCTGCCACAACGAAACCTGAGTTTCTCAAGAGCAGAGTTGGGCTGAATCTGCTCAGACTGTTTTTGACAAGAATGGAGAGTGATATCAGATTATTTAGACACAGGAATGCATTGAGAGAAATGGCCTCACCGTAAATATCTGGCACAGCTCACCAATAAATTGCAGCCCTCAGTTCTTAACTCTCTTCCTCCATTTCCAGTGAAGGCATTCCCAGTTAGCCTATGGCAACAAAGATGGGAATTTGAGACTGCATGACAAATTGAGAAGCTTAAGAGTTTTGATGATGGTCTTGGCATTTGGGGACTATGCCTCACACATATTCCCCATGAAAAGGTTGGCTCTTTCAGGGTATTTTTTTAACAGCTCCTTAATACAGATCTATTTTGGACTTTATTATTGCACATTTGCATTCCCAGTAGCAAAGCCAATGAAGGCACAGGAATGGATTTGCATGAATCCTCAGCTCTAGGGGATTTAAGCAAGGGGAGGGCAAAGTCCCAGCCAGTTCCCCGTTTGACTCAGAAAACCTCCCCCCTTTGGAGAGTCCACCATGGCCCCAGCTCTGCTTTTCCTGGCTCTTCTCAGTTACTGTTTTCTGAGCTTCTTTGCTGTTGTCAATGTATGGCGCTTGTTTCAATGGTCATTGCCCTGGCCTTAGTTCGAGGCTGTGGTGGGGACTCGGTATTTTGTGGGGGGTCGTTTAACTGCCCCCCCATTCCTGGTTTTAACAACACAGTGATATTTCATATAACATCTATTAAAAAACATACTCAAATAGTAAACAAAGCAATCATCAGACCCATTAACGAATTAACAACCCCCCCCCGAAACCTCAACTTCCCCTCGTCCAAAAAACATTCACATCAAACAAAAATCCCCCCCCCCTTTAATCCTTCTACTCCACCCACAGTCAGGTGTGGAGATCAGCTGCTTGTTGCAAATTGTGGGGGGGGGGGATGTGTGTCTCAGCAGGGGGTGAGCACCTGCTCCTCCTCCTGTTTTAAAAAGGATCAATTTTCACATTTCATATACATTATCATTAGACAATATACAGTATGTAACTACAGGGGCGTAATGATGATGATAATGATGATGAGGATGATTTTATTATTTATTTTTCCCCGCCACTCTGGGCAGCTTACAGCACACAAAAAATTGAAGAAATGTACATAGCCGCTTGGGGCGGCTCGGGGGGGGGGGTGATACACGCCATGTAAATGAGCCCAGCCTCTCAAAGGCAGGCTGGGACCAAAGGGCGCAAGGCTGTTGCATCCTTTGCGAGGCATGTTTCCATGGTGGGAAACGTTCACTGTGTACAAGACAAGACCCAAAGAATCCTTCCATACATGGTCTCCGCTAATTGCTACAATTTTATAGACTGCTTTTCTGAGCCTCTTTGCTGTTGTCTATGTATGGCGCTTGTGTCATTGCCCTGGCCTTAGTTCGAGGCTGTGGTGGGGACTTGGGATTTGGG